GCATTATCTGGGATGCCAAGGAAAATACTTTCCGAATCAAAATAAATCCTATTTCCAGAGACACTCTGACAAAACGTCAACTTCGTTCTATTATTGGTAAAATTTACGATCCTCTTGGTTTCCTGTCACCTACAACAATTCAGTTAAAAATCCTGATGCAAGAGCTGTAGAAAGAGAACCTCTCTTGGGATGATCCATTGCCTTACAAGATTGAAAAAACATGGTTTCAATTCAAAGATCAGATGGAACATTTAGCAGACATTAAGATTCTCAGATATCTTTCTGATGATCCATTAATAAAGTAAATTCAACTAATTTATTTCTGCGACTCATCTCAATGCGCATATGCTGCGGTTTTTTATTTACGAACAACATTGTGCTCTGGAAAAATGCATGTTGCAATGATTGCTTCAAAAACAAGAGTTGCTCCTGTAAAACCAATAATGTTGCCTAGACTGGAACTCATGGCAGCTCTTCTTCTTTCACAACTTTATGTTGCAGTTCTAGAATCTTTGCAGAAAGTCATTCAAATCGAGAAAACTATTTTGTTTTCGTCGTTTTGGGTTGGTTGAAGTCGGATCCTACTAAATGGAAAACATTTGTTTGTAATCTTATTTCCAAAATTCAAGAATTGGCATCAGGAGTAACTTGGCAGCATGTAAAAAGTCAAGAAAATCCTGCTGATTGGGCTTCTCGTGGTATTTCTGCATCAAAATTGAAAAATCATGATTTGTAGTGGACCGGACCACAGTGGTTAAGACAAGATTTCTCCAAGTTCCCATCTATTGCCTCATCGCAAACTGAAGAAGATAAAAAATGTGAAGAACAATCAGTTGTACTTCTCAATAACATGACAGTTTCTAACAAAAACAATTATTTTTTAACAATTATTGAGAACTTATCATCATTTACATGTCTGATTCGAGTAATCTCTTGGTGCTTGCGATTTATTAATAACTGCTGGTCAACTAAAGTTTCTAGCGTACTTTTATCTCAAAGAAATTAATAGGTCCTTAAAAACAGTTATTAAGATCATTCAAGAATCTGATTTTACCAGGAGCTTAATCATCTAAAAAATCAAATCCCTCTCCCTAAGAACAGCAACTCCATCAGCTAAGTATATTTTTAGATACAGATAACATTATTAGAGTTGGTGGACGATTGAAAAATTCAAATTTAAACCAAAATCAAAAGCACCCAATGCTTCTTCCAAAAAATCATAATTTCACCAAAATTTAGTGATGCATCCAATTGCATAGTGGACCTCAGCTGACATTGTGTATCATCCGACAAAAATTTTGGATTCCTTCTGGCAGAGATGTGGTTAGAAGAATCCTTGTAAAATGTCTGATTTGTTCCTGTCTTAAGGCCCAGTCAGGTAATCAAATTATGGGTGACCTGCCTGCTAGTAGATTCAACACTGGTAGACCTTTCTTAATCATTAGGCTGGACTTTGGAGGACCATTTACCTCTAAACCTAATGTACCTAGAAGTAGAATCAAGATGAAGTCCTATATTGCATTCTTTGTATGCTTTGCCACTAAAGCAGTGCACCTTGAAGTGGTTTCTGATCTTTCAACAGATGTAGCTGCATTGCTTAGCTTAGCTGCATTGCTTCTTAGCTGCATTGCGTCGTTTTATTTCTAGACGTGGCAAGCCTACCAACCTCTACTCAGATAAAGCTACTAACTTCAAGGGGACATCTTCTTTTTTAAATGAACAGACTCCTTCATTCACCAAAAATTCAAGATGTGTCACATAAATCAATCAACTGGCATTTCATCCCACCTGCAGCTCCTCATTTTGGTGGACTATGGGAGGCAGGAATTAAATCAGCAAAACATCATCTCACCTAGACGTGCAAATCAGCCACATTGAACTTTGAGGAACTTTGTACACTCGTAGCACAAATTGAAACATGTCTAAACTCCAGACCATTGACACCATTATCATCCGATCCTCATGATTTAGAACCTTTAACTCCTGCACACTTTTTTATTGGTGTTCCTTTAAATTATTTTCCAGAAAAGGCCCCTACTGAATCCATTTCATTAAAAAAGAGATGGCACCTGATTCAATTGCTCCGTAATCAATTTTGGTCTAGGTGGAGAAGCGACTATTTGAGCCATTTGCAGCAGTGGTGTGAATGGAATAAACTGAACAATAACTTTAAGGAGAATGATTTAGTTCTCTTAAAGAATCAAGATCATCCACCTATGAAATGGAGTTTAGGTAGAATTGTGAAAACATTTCCAGGCAGTGATGGTGTGGTTAGGGTGATAGAAATCAAGACTGTGAAAGGAAATTTCAAGAGACCGATAACTAAATGTTGTCCTCTTCCTCTTGATTGCTGAACATAGTTCAGGCGGAGGAGGATGTTTAGTTCATAAAACATTTCGCCGATAGATGGCGCTGTTTTCAATTTCAATGAAAAAATTTTACTTTTATTAATAACATTAAAAAAATCATTCTGTTTTCTTCTGCTTACCATTCAAATCGAGGCTAGCGAGGTTCCTATAGTGGTATTCATCTTCACAAATCAAAATATGTCGAATGAAGATAGTAGCTATTGTCCCATTTCTTGGTATAATAAATCGAATTACTATTCTTCAGATAACTAACATTATTTTTTATAGCAGCAAGAAATCTTAGGTAAGCCGATTTTGATATTAATTCAGAAACTTACCAATCGAAACAGTGACAATGAATTTAATAATTGGTGCTGTAAATTGTTCTAACACTAAGCCTGATTTAAAATAATGTATTTGGTAATGTTCATTGTGACATACAATTTGTGATATACAAAATCTAGATTATTATTCAGAGATATTTCTTTTGTTTATTTTAAAAATCCTTTCTATGGCTCTGATCAATGTTTGAATTCTTTGCTTGGTTTACTTTACTTTACTTGGTTTAATAATGTTGCCATTATTTGTACAAAAGAACTGTTGTAAAATGTTGTACTATTTAATACTAAAATTACAGATGCAACTTTTTTTCAAAAGTATTTAATAACACAAATTTGTTTGTCGCTGCTAGAAATTTATACTGTTTTCTCTTAAATATTCAGTACTTTTTTTGGACCAATTTTCCGGTGATACGTTCTGTAAAAAGTGAAATAGTTTACATTTTAGAAACTTTTTCTTTTTGATCTTTCTTAAATAATTCGTAATATTCACAAATTTTTCCATCTATACACAATTTTCATAAAAAGATATTTCAAACTGTTGTTTATAAATATTGGTAAGGATGGTTTACATATCAATAAAAACACTTTTTGATAAGATCCCTAATTTTTTTAAAAAAGAATTTCTTTCTAATTTAAATTGTGTTGTTGATTGCTGGATAATATAAATTGATAGAAAAATTAATTTGAAAATCACTGATTTTGGACTTTAAGTCCCTCCCCCTCATGAGTACTAATGTGACTGTGTTTAACCTTAAGAAACAACTCATTATCTGAGTTACTTTTAAAAGACTGTGATTTTAAAGCGATTAGTAAAAAGGAGCCAACCGTTAAAATTTCTGCTGGTTCATAATGTAACAAAGAAACAATTATTGTTCAGAAAATGAAGACTCTGAAGTGTGTTTGAGGTGTCTAAACTGTAGAGAGGCAGCTGTGGTGATGAAGCTTCAAAGTAGTGGTTCACTAGAGAGCTTAGCAAAAGATGAGGTCATCCAGATTATAGGCATTGCAGGTAGGATACAAAACTATGCGGCAACAGTGTCATGAGATAATTTATCTTTCCAAAACTTGAATCGTTCTATTCTCCTTAGAAATGGTATTTTTGATGAATCATTCAAAAGAGATACTGGAAGGAGATGCTTGTGAAGCATCATTTCAAATCACATATTTTGAATTCTTTTAGAAATTATATTTATTTTTAATTTAAACAACTGCAACATGAAAGATTAATGGTTTCTGTGATTTTCTTTCACTAAACTGAATAATAATAATGACATTTAAAAAAAATGAATAGCATAATTTTGGCTAATTGAACCTAATGCTGATTGTAGATGCACAGGATTATAAGTAGAAAGCATTTACAAAAAGTCTGAAAAGACTCTTAAAGTGATACTAAAGTTAGGAACTTTTTACCTCAAAATCTGATTTATTATTCCCTGACGATTGTGACGAGCAATGGAAAAAACAATGTAAGTGCTTCAAGAAAATTTTGTGAAAAATGACTTAACAGCTATTTTTTGCCATTTCAATACTATCGATTCAAAATATTTCAAATTTGTTATGCTCCTACCTTAATATTAAATTATTGTGAAAAAAATTTTGCCAATATGTTATTCATGAATAGTTTTAAACAAATTAGGAGTTAAGATGATTTTCTGCAACGGGTTATACTTTTGTGTACAAATTAAAAATCAACGTATTTCACATATTTCTCCTCTTTATGAGTTGCACGTGCGCTGCATGTTCTTGCAACAATGTGATAATTTTTTTGTGTTTTTTATTTATTTATTTTTAAAAATTTTTTAAATACATTTCTTGTATTTATCTCCATTATTTTTATTTGCTTTTTTTTAATTATATTTTTAAGATTTTTACCGTTATCAAAGGAGAAAAAAAAATTAATAAAGAGACAAAAGGGAATTAAGGTTAAGAACATTTAATTCAACTATACATACAATAATGCATATATGTTCATATTATATTCATATTATCAGCAATCTTGATTAGAGATCAATTAAATCTTTCGATGTTTCAGATGATTTAAATTGATTCAGAATCATAACTGTGCTTCAGGAATCAAATTTCCAAAAAATTTTTAATGCCGTATTTTCTTTTTTTTTTTTTTTTTTTTTTTTTTTTTTTTTTNTTCCGTTTTTTTTTTTTTTTTTTTTTTTTTTTTTTTTTTTTTTGTCTATGTGAGGAGTGTCTTGTGCATAAAGTTTTACTAGAGATTCTTATTTGCTACAGACGGTTTTAAGAACTCAACATCTGCCCATCTTTGAAAAAGTTCTCAGAAAATTTTAATTCCTTTTAGGAACTCCACCATGTTATTCCATGATAAATTGTTGTTAAAGTGAATAATCTATCTGAATTGATCAAATTTACAGGTGACTACTACATTCTGATTCATCTTTTACAGGTTATATATGAAATTTGATTAGTTTCATAATTTTCAATGCATTTGGCTTGATTTTGGTTGCCTTTAACCTTCCGTTAGTCGCGCACTTGTTTCCGACATGGTTAATCGCGTTGCACCTATGAGGTGTTTCTGATTTTTTGAAAGCCAAATGAAATTTAGTCTAGTTTAAATAGTTAATTGTTACCAATTTAAGACTCTTTAGAGAGATAAATATCAAAAAACTTATTTAGCGAAGTACCGAAGATAAATTTTTCTTGCTCCCGCGTCGGATCTCTTCCTCCATCACAAGATGTTCAACCAATTAACGCAAGAAGGTTCTGCGGTTTTTTACTCCGTAACCATTTTCTGTGTATATAACTTGACCATTTATACCTGCTACGTTGAGAAGGACAGAAAATGAGATAAAATATATATATTTAATTCATAAAAATATTATATCCATAATACTTGCGTCAATGGTCGCGCTGCACCAGAGGGGTGATTTGAGCGGTTCCAACTCTCCATCGACATGTTCTAAGGTCGGTTTTACACGGACATTTGAGTAATCCAAAGTTAGGAACATAACATTAGGCTCGACCCCCGGAAAAATCTATTGACGGCAAAGGAGGTGGAAGTGCAGTAGGGATGCACCTGTGAGGTGCGCGCGTCTAACGGAAGGTTAACTAAGAATGTCAGTGAACTAAGAATGTTAAGTAAGAACTATCAGTGCGGGCATATAACAGACACTTAACCTTACAAAACATCAGTTGAGAGTAAACTGGGCAACTTTTACTAATCTGATTATTAATAATAGCTGTTTTCTATTTTCTAGTTTTTTCATTCGTCTTTTATAAGAATATTAAAATTTATAAACTCAAGATTTCAAACATTATTCATCATCAATAGAAATGTTAAGATTGAATTTTTAAAGCTACCATTTTAAATTTAAACTTAGGTAACAATTTGCATTTTACAAAGTCATTTCATTATTTTTAATTCTACTTGGCAGATTTATTTTCGCAGCACATAGAAAAATAAAAATTACGTTTGAGTTGAAGTTTCAATAAATTATACCTAATTAATTACACTTACCAAACTTTAATGGCAATTATTAATTATTTAGTGTGATGAATGTACATAGTTGTAAGACACTTACCAAAAACTTGTTTATTGTTAATAATAGTTGGTTTTTATTAATAGACATATTTGTTACATTTAAATAAAAAAAACTTTCTCGCCGGATCACATAGTCGAAAACGAGACTTTGTAATGTTGATGAAGTTTTCACAAAATTCTCTGGTAGTATGAAATTATTTGATTTGTAATACTTTTGAAAAAAATTATATTTCTTAGTGAAATCAATTTTCAAATCAACATTTACTCAATTAGCACAAGATGCTAAAGAAATGACACCACAGATGGAAAAAAAGAAAAGAAGAAACAGTGTAAGTACGAGGGTTGCCAGGCTATTCTTTCCCATCGATCAGTTACTTGTGATACAAAAATCATTGTTAAGTCCATTTTTCTACAGCTCAAAAAGGTCATCTTGAATAGATAGCTACTTTTTGTTGCAGCGACAAACATTTTTGCAAATTTAAGATTTAGTCGGAGTTACGTTGAAACGAAATTACAAAAAACTGATTTTTGAAAGAAGAAAAAGTTTTTGCAATATGTAGCTATTTTTACAAAGATGCCAAATATATAAAATTCTCAATTTCAAATTTTTTGTAGCTCTTGTTGGTTTTTCAATTACACGTATTTTTCTTTACTTTCGTCCCTTTTACCCTTTTCTAAAAGAGGGCATATTTTGTTTTAATTGAGTTTAAAAAAATGCTCTCTTTTTTTTTTATTAAGTGTTTTTATTTTTATTTTTTAGAAGTGCAAATAGCAATGGCAGCTGCGATGATACCAGACTTTTAAATGGTGATGTTACCGGAACAGTGAAAAAAATGCACCTAAGTTAGTGGAAATGAAGAACCTTCCATGAAAATCTTTATATTGAGCTGATATCTTTAATAGAGTTTGAAACTTCACATTGTGTAAGGCTTATTTTATAAATTGTATTTTGAACTTTAATGTGCATTTTAGTGGACTGCATACAATTTTGTACATAAGCATGATGGAAAAAAATTCTTTTGAAACAAAATATCTTTTTATTATTGATTTGTGTGATCTAAAAAGAAAAATGAAATTATGCAAATCAGATTTGTTAATGGACAGTTATTTTATTGAATAGCATTTCTTTGGCTGCTAGAAACTGCATTCATTATTTCTGATTAAAAACAAATATTTTTTTAAATTATTTCTTTTTAATTTATTTCTTTTTATTAGTGAAAATCATCTGAAATTCGTTTTGTTAGTTTGCTTTATATAAAGTTGCTAAATAATGAAGCAATTTAGATGTTTTAGAAAAGATTGTTTTATTATTATTTTAAATATTTAGCAAATACATCTCAAATCTTTATTTTCTTTCATCTACTTAAATTCAGATTTAGTTTTAAGTTCAATCTGAAAAAAGAAAAGAGCTTTTTAACGAACATTTGCATTATTATTTTAGTCCAAGATAAACTTAGTACACTACTAAGCGAACATTTGAGTCTTGTTTGTCAGCCGTAAATAAGATGCTGCTGTTCAAATGTCATGTTGAGACTAAACTAACCTAAATATTCTGCTTTCAATAGAAGGTGATTCCTGTAACTTAATCTTAAGGCAAGATTTAAAACTTAAGTGAACTTTGACATTGTTAGTTATCTTAAATATGCAACTAACAGTAAAGTTAATTCCTTTGTAATTTATAATTTTTTTTCCATTTTAATCATGATAGGTGTGACAGTGAAAAAAAGAAAAATTAAATCTTTTAAAAGTTATAGTAAAAATAAATTTTTTTCTTTCAATAAATAAGAATAAAAATTTCCTTTAAAAAAATTATTTCAACTTTCTCTTCAGAGATAGTGTAAAAATAAACATCCTTAAAGAAAATTTATTTTATTTTAAAGAAGTCAAGAAAATGGTTTTTTGCTTAGATAAGCTATTAGCATTTTAAAATAAATTGATATAAATAAAGTATGAACGATAAAAAAATGCTGTAAGTCCAATTGAGCAATAGTATATATAATATAACAAAAGGATTTGTTAAATGGCAATGATCATCTTTTACAAAATGGTTGGATGAAGTCATTCCATTGGGGACAACACATAATTTTTGCATTTTCACCCCTGTCTTCACTCTGCAAGTAAACTGACTGTGCACATGTGTATGAGAATCACGCAACATAGTTGCTTCATGCTTGCAGCTGCTTTAGAAGTTAATAATTGTTTCACTTTTGATCTCATTTCAGTCATTTTATTTACCTTAAAAAGTACTTTTCTCTTTCAAGATTTTAGTATAAAGATGCAAAGAACTTTTTTTTTTCACTTAAATTTTTTATTTTTTTTTTCTTACTTCAGTTGTTTTGTATCCACGCATCTAGAAAGTTTTGGAAAGTCAGGAATTTCGGTATTGAACAAAATTTGTCATGAAATGTCATGATTTTAACAATTTTAAAAAAAAAAAATCATGGATTTAGGTTGCCGAAAAATCAAATTTTTAAAATGNCCCCCCCCCCCCCCCCCCCCAATTTCATGGTGTTCTTAATTTCTGACAAAATCCCCTCTGACAGTCATATTTTATTAAAAAATAAAATGTTTTTATCATGTTCTTTAAAAATTATGGTATTCTTTCAAAAAATAAAAGAAAAAGCATTTTTAGAGCGGATTTTCTTTTAAACTTCTGTGATTTCAGAATTTTTATTATTATTTATTTTATTTTAGCAATTTAAAATTTTAGCTGAAGCAAGCCAGTATTTCTCGGGAGTATTTCTTTCCTTTCCAACGAACAAGAAAAATATCTTAAGAATATAGTTCTGCAGAAAAAAAAAGAAAAAAAATATTATCTTTCTTTACTCTGTTTTTTTAAATTTAAAATCTTTAAATATGAGAAGGCAGAGTGTAACAGTTTTGGTTATACCTATCATTTCGATTAATGTTATTACAATGCTTTTTTTGAATTTATTGTTGTATTTTTGTCAGAGAAAATAGTAACTTCGTTAAGTCATGAAAAATACCTGGAAATAGTCATGGATTTGAAAATCTAAAATGTAGCAGATACCCTGCAAATGACTCTGACTTTGGATTAAAAATTAATTCAATTTAGAGGAATGAAATAAAAAGTTATGAGTTGTTGATAAAATAATTATAAAGATGGGTTATATTATTAACATCCAAATGACTTTGTCTAATGATATTATTGACATCCAAATGATATTATTAACATCCGAATGACTTGTTTAACATTGCAATTGTTTCTTTTTGTCTTTGATCAATAATAATAATTGAACAAAATCCATTTTCCAGTTATTATTATTATTATTTTTTTGCATGGGTGACCGAAAATCTCTACCATCTTATTCTATTACCTGTGTTGGCAACTTTGTATAAAATCAATTTATGTTTGCTTTTTATGCTGGAGAGCTGTTATAATTTGCAATATTCACAAATCAGTTCACTTCAGCCGATCTGCAATGAAATTGTTTTTTTTTTTTTTTTAAATTTTTATGTGTACTTTTTATGCCATTCCAAACACATTGTGATATATTTTCATACGAATGTATCACATGGAATTTGCCTAAAATCTCTACTTACATGTTGAGACCAATTTTTTTTGTGATACATTCAGTATAAAGTGAAATGGTTTAAATTGAACAACTAATAACTATTTCAAATTAGTTTTTTAAACTGTTCAGAATTACTTGTGCATGTCTCTATGGTTCTAATTAAAAATTATGCAAGTGTCTACCCTTATATAACAACAGTTTTGCTGGAACAAATAATAATTACTTGTGTTCGATTGGACAAACATAGTATTAAAAAATAAAGTTTAATTATTATTAATTTTTTTTTTTTTTTTGTGTGTAGTTGTGTTTAACTCACATGCTTTTTTATGTTTACAAACTATAGTAATGATCTAATATTTTAATGCATTTAAATTGCTGATACCTGATATCAGTCTAATCTTGAGATTTGTTGAAAATATTGTTTAAATTTTATATGTTACCAATAGAATTTATTTTTTAAGAGTTTATTTGATATCTTTGATCTAGTTTTTTCTAACTTTCGTTTTATTGTGCTATAACTTTATTGGCTTAAACACCTATTATTGATTAAGAATATTTAACGTAAATTAATTTATGTTGCTTCATAGAAAAACTTGCTGAATTTTAATATTTTGTCGAAGTAATCATAATTTGTTTTTTAAAAAATCTATGGCAGAGGTACGATTAAATATTTGTTTTATTATGTTATGCTTAGACTTTTATTTTATGTGGTGTTAAAAAGTCAATTTTGGTTAAACTTCTGTTGCAAGTAGTTTCTTTTTTCTGACGTATTAGTAATTTTTTGTTACTTTGACATTGTGTTCACACTGTTAACTATTTTCATCGGTGTTTGTAATATTTAATTTGCTGTTTTATGTACAAAGTTTTATAATCAACCTTTTAAGATTTTAAGTGAAAGTGCAATTTTAAGTTGGTTTTTATCACTCAAGTAGTTTTTTTTTTCTTTCATTTTATTTAAAATATTTCTCGTGTCCAGTGATGAGTAATATATTTAAATTGAAATCATTTTATTCTACAAACTTCAATAAATTTTTTGTGGATGTATTTAATATCTGTAAAGTGTGTATATTTATTCGTCGAATTCAAAGAATAATTCAAAAATATCAAAATACTCATGCTAATGTAGTCTCTCTCTAATATAATTTCTTAATCAGATTCATTTTTTAAAATTTTATTTTTTGCTACTTAGACTCGTCCAAATTCACTTTTGTGATTGAATTGTGTTCTTGTGTACATTTTTTCTAGGTGATGGTCATTTATTGATAAAATTTTAGCAGCATTATTATATTTAATATTAAAATTAAATTTTGTGTTTTAATAGAGAAAATGTCATTGTATGAATTTAAACTAAACACTTAGTGTTTAGTTTAAACTAAAGTTTTAAACTAAGCACTAATTATTTTGTTTATTATTAGTTTTAGCAAAAACTGAAATGAGGGGTAAATTTTTAATTTGAATTAGATTTTTTCAAATATCCAACAAAAAATCTTGCAACCACTATTAATTATGGAATGTGAAAGTGTCATTAGTTTTAAACTACTTGAATAAACTCATCATGTAAAAAGCAAACTATTATCTATCTTTGTTTTGTAGAAATGTTGTTTTTCCTAAGGAGATGTAAAGCCATTGTAAAATATTTCTACATTTGCTTTGATGTATATTTCTACTTGTCCAAGCTTTTCATACGCTTATTTTTTAAGAAAAATGCATATTTGCAAAATGATTATTTGATGAAATGTGCGAGTTATACAATAAAACCTATTTAAAAGAAACTTTTCAAGCAGTATAACTTTTTGAGCTGGCAGGAATAAAATAGTCAAAAAATCATAGATATCAATTATGTTTTGTTCTTGTTTATGTTGTAATATCATGCACATTGAGTCATACTTATAGAAATTTCATTTAGATTTTAGCAGGCTTAAAATATTAATAAAGGAAGAAAAATAATAAAACTAGTTTTACTAAATATTTCTTAATATTTTTTCATTTTAAAGAAACGTTTCGTTCACAGTAAGTCAAATGTCGAACAAGACTGTGTCCCCCTTCCCTAAGAATCCATTGTTTTGCTTGGCTAAGTTTTATTTATTTAGACATTTGTTTAACTTTTTTGTGAGGAATTCCAATGTTTTGAAATAAAAATTAACAGCTTGAGAAAATGTTGTAGCTTGAAAGAAAAAGAAGTTTAAAACTAAATTTCTCAGAACGGTTATTTTTGTTTTGTAGAAAGACGGAACAAAATATGTAATGAGAATATGAACTACTTAAAGGAGAACTCAAACAGATTTTACTGTATATATTTCTCATAAATAAGACTAATAAATAACTCGTAAATAAAGTATAATTATGCATGTATTTGATTAATAATGTGTTTTCAAGATTTAAAATATTAGATAAAAAGAACTTATATACGTACCTCTCAATTTACTTTAGTGAAGCAAATGAGACATTTGGATTCTTTTAAATATGTTAATAATTATGTTAAATGTGTTGATGACTCAATGAAATGGGACCAAGTAAAAACAATTCTTAGCTGAAGAAAGAAAGTTTTAGTTGTCTCTTTCCTTAGAACAATAGATAAAAATTTTCATTGAACATTTGTAAATTAATTTCAAAACAAATTTGTATAAGTTGTTTGGAGGTCTCATTTCCT